CAGATCAATCATCGTATTTAGTGTAATCAATGAGTGGTATTGAGATTAAAGGTGATCAAAGTACAAACCACTCATGAATTGTGTTTGATTTGAGGATTGATAAGGTGCATCTAATCCTAATGTTCATTCAATGGTGTAGATCTCTTCTTACAGTTCTCACATAATTAACTCTCTTTATCGCCAGAACACAACCAATATATATGTGTGTGTGTGTGTAAAGGGTTTGTTCAATTCTTAATCTATTAATAGGTGTTAACTATGTGAACTGATCTTAGCCTTTAATTTGTCAAATCTAAGGATGAAATTGATCAATGGTAATTTTGTAATAAGATTAAAAGTGATATATGTGAACAACAATGAACAAGGATAAATTTGGAAAAGATGAAAGAGGCTTTTTAGTTGTTTTTAGTTAACAAATTTAATGGAATGTTACAAAAAATATTTGATTAGTTTATCGAGGGAAGAAGATGGAGATTTAACTTGAACAACTTCATAAATGAAACAATGATTGTGTCCACTACTGAAACTTATTCGTTAGTGAAACAATGAACGTTTCCATTATTGAAACTTGTTTATAAGTGAACCGTGTTAGTGAGTGAACCATGCTCATTAAAACATAAAGAATTAGTGTGCATGTGTTCACAACTGATCATGAATACATTCACACTATAGAACGATGTTCATAATACTGATCAGTGCCTTGTTCAAGGTGAACGTTTATCATAAGTGTACCCCGATCATAAGTGAAAATTGTTCACTAGTTTCACTTTTGAACTTGTTTAAGTTGAATCTCCATCTTTTTAACATGTTAATTAACAAGGACTAACAGTAAATTGTATATTTAACACTATTTGTCTTATTAACAAAAGATCCCCTCTCTCTATATATAAAGTTACTGTTTTTATTACGATTTGAATGTAACACGGAAAGGAACACATAAAACACATTATTGCATGACACGTTACACCTTGGTGAAGTAGATGTGTTTCACGTTTATTATATCTTGTGTTGTTTTTATATGGAGAATTCATGCAATATACGTTTGTATGTAATATTCCACTTAATTTAAGCATTAAAATTGCAAAAAAGAAAGAAAAAAAAAAGACTGTCGTTTTCTTTCTATTTTGTCTTGCTTGCATATACTTTATTTATGCAAACCCGACCACCGGACAAAAGGCAATTTAAGCATATCTTATCTTGTCTTGTTTGCATATCTTTATTCATTTGATTTGATTAAAATACCATTTAGTCAATGTTTTACTTTGCTTAAACTATCTTAAACTCCTACACACATCAAATGCGTTTTTTTCATTTTATGTCTGTTTGAATGAATTACATTGATGGTAAAGTTGTTTAAATAACATTATGATTATGATTATGATTATGATGTATTCCCATTTAATTAATCGTGATGTCATGCAGGTCCACTCACATCACATAATGATCGCTATTACTCATCTCAAGTACGACCAACTTACATGCTTTTCTATTGGCCAACAGTTCATTTAGAGCATCCTAGTACACAGGTGAACATATCATTTGCACTAGAATTAAGTACCATCATTGGTACTAGAAGTGGCATTGTATCCTCTCCATCCATGATTAGGGCATCTCGATAGCATATGACAAAACGTTTTACATGCAATCATTACCAAACACATATTCATGCTCTCAGTGTGAATCTCTTACATGTATTATCACAAAATATATTGTCATTTTTCATGCATGTAACTACTAGTTACAAGACAAAATCAAAACATATGCATGAACACATAATTCTCATTAAACATACGTTTTTAGCATGTACCCAATTAAAACAAAAAAAGTCCATGAAATCACCTTTGTTGAATTTGGTATCACCACGTTAGATCATAAATCATCAACCTACACCATATAACATTGTTAGATACTTTTTTTTCAAGAATCATGTTATTTAGGACACAACCACTGTCACAGTGGCACTTTCTTCAAAATCGAGGGTTGTGTGGCCATGTTTGGCTTGCTAGACCGCATTGGTTCAATGATACACTAAAAACCAAAGCCATCGACGTAAAGATAACAAGATTTGGTTTAGTATTCCTGCGCCATATCAAAGCTATAGCGTATGTCCGTTAACCAAGCTCCTTTTTACCGACTTCTCTCTCTAAACTCTCGTTTTTGTCGAAATAAGTTGAGGGTATTTGATCAATTAGTATATGAACGTAGTTTTGTTTCAAATCTTCTGAGAAAGTAGAAGAATTAGCTATCATATAGTCTCCAAATCTCGGTCGGTGATCATACCTTCCATATATGGCCAATATAAGATTTTCTATTTTTCTTCGACTTTAAGTTATTTGTTGCCTAAAAACTATGACAATTACTTTTAATTCTATAATCAAATATCGTTTATTTTTTTAAAAACAGACAAAATGCTAGAATTGAATACAACTAATTTATTTGTTTCATTATTTTGAGAAAAGTTATAACAAATCATTAATCATCATGAGGATGCCTTTAGCTTAAAAACTTTCACCGCATACTTGCAACTTTTTTGTTCACGAATTGTGTGTAAGTTTTGTGTTAGGCCAATTCCAATTACGACATAAAAAAAACTATAAATATTAAAAGAAAAACTTTAATAACACATTAAAAATATACTTTTCTTGAAATATTAAAAATATACTTAAATAATATATTTAATATTATATATATAATAAGAGTAAACTTCATTTTTGGTCCCTAACGTTTATCATTTTCAACGGATATCTTTTCTAACTTAGTCCTTGACGTTTGTCATTTCACAACGGTTTTGGTCCTTCCTCCTAACGACCGTTAACTTTTTATGTTAAGTTCAATTGAATGAGGATAGTTTAATTAGTCGTTTTAAACATTTTTCTTATTTTATTGGTTGGAGAAGGAGGCAACGAAAAACCCAGATCTTTAGAGTAGAGGGTAGCTTGTGGTTCTTGACAAAAAAAACGTATTTGGTAGTTCAGTTGTTCTTGACGAAGAGCCACATCTGTGTTGAGACAAAGGGAACAAAAACAAGATAGCGTTGTGTGCATTCCTAAAGCAAAACGCCGACAACCTTTTGGGAGGTTGGACCAAACATCGCCAAACGTAGACCAAGCGCTGATAACCCTTTACTTAGTTTTGGTTTGGGGTTCTTTTTTTATATTACAAGGTTTATTTGATGTTTTGAGAAGGATGAAGATTCAACGTAGAAACTAAGAAAAATGTTTAAAATACTAAACATTAGGGACCTAAAGCAAAAAATTATTTCGTGTTATACATGAAATGATATTATTCATAAAACGCCAAATTTGTTTTGATTTGATATGCCGACCAGTTGGATTGAGTTTGACCGGTAAAATATTAGTGTTATGTTGTTGACGGCTTGAAGCTAATAGCAGTAAAAATTATAAAAGATGTAAAATAAACATAAATCTTACACAGAAACTTGATAAGTTCTACAACATTAGTTGTAAGTTCTAACTAAAAATATTTTACAAGGTGAGAAAAATGTAAGGATGATGGAGATGTACATTATGATAAGATGCACCAGATCAATGATCAATCTTTGTATCAAACATGATTCATATGTGGGTTTGAGATTAAAGATAATCAATGGTCCAGATCCCTTTTTATACTTCCCACATAAACCCTCATTCTCACACGATCCTTTGCTTGCATAATGTTAGTGGATGGATATTTTATTTAAAATGTGACACCCTAAATTCAAGTAAAAGTTTAATCTATAAAACTTCAATGAATGAACCCTGATTTTGATCTCGTGGGAAGAAAATATCATTATTTTCCATCAATGAAATTAAAAGACATCAGATTTTCATTTATTTAATTCATATTTACTTTTACTTCTCTCCTTACGTGTATTCATATGATTGGTTGTAAATTCGGGATAGCTGATTTCTCGTTTTCTCTTCCTTCAATTCTTTCTTCCAAGAATCTAAGGGGGCGTTTGGTTCGTAGAATGGAATTCAATGAAATTGGAATTCATCAAATGGATTTGACTTTGAGGGAATTGAATTTGATGGAATTTGACCATGTCTTTTCATTGCGTTTGGTTGGATGGAATTGAAATAAAATTCTTAACCGAATTGGGTTTTTTTTGTTTCGTTCACGGAATTCAACGAGAAAATTACAGGCAAAAAAAACTGAAACCGAAACTTTCGGGCTGGGTTCGGGGACGGGGCGGGGATCGGGGACAAGTTCGGGGATTTTAACGGGGACGGGGGCGGGGACGGGGATCATCGGCCCGGCCCGGCTTGATATGTGTGTATATATTAATTTATATATATATTAAATTCGGGGATTTTAACGGGGATTTTTAGATCTGTTTCGGGTTTCGGTTTCGGGTTCGGTTACAATCAACGGTGAACGGGAAAAAAAGGATTTTTACCTTCACAAATTCCCCAACGGGGATCGGGGAAACCGCGGGACCTGATAAGATCCCCAACGGGGATCAGGGCGGTCATGTGGACGGTTTTAATTATCGGTTTCTGGGACGGGGATGCCAATAACCGGCCCAAACCTGACCCGTTGTCATTCTTAGTTTTAAACGAGATTGAGCAAAGGAGATCGAGCATAGCAGAACAGAGCAAATCGAGATACATCGTCGATGAATGGATGAGGACTAAGGAATTTGTCGGATTGGAATTTGAAATCCGTGGTATATGCGGTGGAATTGTGAAATCAATGAATTAAGGAATTGGATGGAATTGGTTGGAATTGGAATGATTCATTCACATCTATTATGTGAACCAAACATGGGATTTGGAATTTGGTCAAAGATTTGGATATTCCAATTCCTTTCAACTCCACCAAATTCCATGAACCAAACACCCCCTAAGAAAGTACCATTACTTTTCATTTTGTTTTATTTATATTTTTGTTATTAAGCTGGATATCCAACCCACTATACGAGCCGACTAATCTCAGGACGACCACCTGTTTTGCAGATAGTCCGGAATCATCGCATTTGAACCTCCATGGCCAGAAAAGATGACATATCCACATATTAATATGAGATCCAAAAAAACAGATTTTGTGAAGAATCAAGGATTCGTATAAACTTGTAAAATAAAAACTGAATTAAACTAATCGTATGTCTCTTATTTTCTTGCTTCATCGGGTTTCTTTAGTATCTCCAGAGAGTCAAATCTATGTCAGAATCAAACTCATCGTTCCAATCAAACCCTTTTTTCATTCCTGGTGGTGTAATAACCAATCCCTCCGCCATGCTATTGTAAAAGCTCGGCATATTAAACAACACCTCTTCGTCGACAAACGCCGTCTCCGCCACCTCCACCACCACCTGTTCGCTCCGTAAAGACGTCGACGCCAATACCGAGCTATTTTCAAACCGTTTTGGACCAAAAGCAATAGCGGCTTCCATAGCAACCTCTTGAATATCACGAACCGATGATGACTTAGCCCGTCGAACCAGATGGGCGGAGTCCGGAAAGTTTAGTGGTGACTTATCACCACGTAAGGATAGGGTTGCAGCATCAAAAGCCCTAGCTGCCATTTCTGGGGTTGGGAACGTACCCAACCATATTCTTGATTTCTTGCTGGGCTCACGAATTTCACACACCCATTTCGTGCCGTTTCGTAGTCGAACACCTCGATAGATCGGGTGTCTGGTTTCTTTAAACTTCTTCCTTCCGGCCTTTCTCTTCATCAATGGCGGAACAACTATTTTATTGGTGTCCTTTTGGGAAGATGAAGAGGAAGAAGCGGAAGAAGAAGAAGCATCGTCTTCAATGATTTCCATTTGAAAATGGAGAGTTTGATCGATGGGAGAATAGAAGTTGATATCGTTATGTATATATGTATATGGAAATGAAATATGAATAAAGAAGTGGGTGCTCCCAAAAAGTTGACAAGAGAAAGATGACCCTATACACACGTGACACAACACATGGAAAGGTGACACAATTTCGTCATAAAAAACATGTGACAAATTAATGATGCTTAAAACCTTTCAAGAAGTCGTTTCCAACAAAAAGGACGGTTCCGGGTCCACCGAAGACTCCCTATCATGCCCACTTGGGAGTGGGCCTCATATTATATATATACTAGTTATATTATATATATATATATATATTAGTTGTGTATCTGTGTAATGTGATAGGAGCCATTAATTTTAACAATCTTGAAGTTTTACTGGTTTTATAAGATAAGATTTAATGATGATATAAGTTACACTTGGTTTTTACATATTAATATAATTTGAATAAATAAGAGTTATGGTTTTAATTACAAACTATCGATAAAAAAAATTGTATGTTAGTTTAAAATTCAATATATTTAAAATTCAACATATTTAAACGACTTCACAAATGTGTTTGATTTACACCAAGAGCAAAGAACCAAGAAACTTGAGTTTTAAGATAAACACTCAAAACCAATAAAGAAAACTACAAATTTGACAGATCATAAGCATGAAAAGACCAAAAAAGATGGGTTTTAAAATGAAATTTCAACTGTTTACCTTCTTTCTTGTCTAGAAACTCATATTAAAGTTAAATTAATACATGTATATATATATATATATATATATTTCAAAAACACCCAAGAACATATTAATTCAGAACATATTATACAATGCAATTTGAACAGCCTAACCCCAAAATATATAGTATATATATAAATAAATAACTATAAAAGTATAAATCGTATCAAATTAACTATTTAAAATTCTTCATTTTTTGTGTAATTTTTTAATTTAATTTTTTATTATAATTTAATTTAGGTACAATAACGAAGTAATTTATATTTGGTTTAATAATATAATTTTCTTATAAAGATAATAATTAATTATTTTGTTAGAACTCGATAATTATCCTAATTATATTTTAAAATAAGATGTTTATTCTCTATTCGATTATATTTATCCGCAATTAGTTATACGAATTCAAAAATCGAGCTTTGATAAGTTGTACTTTTGCATAATTTACTTGTAATTTTGAATTTTAAGTAAACATTGGTTTTATGTGGTTTTGAGAAAATGGTATTATATATATAGGTTGGTTATTATACAACTTTTTACATTTGTACAACCAATACAACATAATCTCAACCGTCCATTTGATTTGTTGAATATGTGATTTCATATAAGTTTTGATTGTTTCATAATATAATGTATTGATCATAATTAATGAACCCTATTCATCTTCCATAAATATTCAAATGATAATAAATAAACTCTCATCATTTCTATAAATATCTCAATTAATTGGGTTGCATTGGTTGTACAGATAGACATGGTTGCATTTGAAATATACCATATATATATATATATATATATATTATGAGTGCGTTTGGTATGCAGACAGAACAACGATTCAACGTTTGGTGAGACATGACAGAACTGGACAGAACTGGTTAAAATGACCAATTTACCTCTAGTGAGCTGTTTAGTGTTTTTTCCACTAAATAATCAATATAAATGTTAACAAATACGGTGTGCAAAGTATAACTTATAATAGAAAATTATTTTTTAATAACAAAATACATCATTTGAAGTTTTCGTCAAAACAATTAAAATGACACCAAATAAAAAGTTTATGTGGTTTTCTATTTAAATTTTTATCTCTTTTTTACATTATTTTTTATTATTAATATATAATAAATTACATAAATTACTAAAAATATAAAAACCGTATATAAATAATATTTTGAATACAGTAAAATGAAAGTTTAAGAAACATAAAATACAATAAATAAAATTTAAAGAATGAATAAAATGTAAAAAAAGACATATTTGATGTTTTAGAAGAGAATTAAGTTTTATTTTGAGATTATATTGGTAAAATATAAGTCTGTTCCACCTGTTCCATTAGGGTAGGGGTGGAAGAGGCCTGTTCCACTTTATTCTTGTCTGTTCCATATAAAATTCATGCCAAACATGAGATAGAGATCTTTGTTCTGTCTCTGTCCAGTGTACCAAATTCACCCTTAGAGAACCGATACTTCAAGATTTTGGGACCCAAGTTTACATACGTTTAAGATATTTTTATTAATCTGTGTAAAGTTATAACTCAAGTTATTAATTATTTAGTTTACATTTAAATTATTAATGGTTTAAGTTTAGATTTTGATCATTTAAGATTAGCTTCCATTTGTGCTTAACATATATATATCGTTGTTATTTAATAATTAAATGATATCAAAAGTTCTGGATGTTATAGAGTTTTTATAATGATATGGCTTAAAAAAAATAATTGAGTTATTTTCGGGAGTTTCGGTATTTTAGTTGATGTTACCATTTGATAATTTATAATATTGTTTATTTTTATTAGAGCAATTGAGGTCGTGGTCCCACTCCTACATGCACCGATTGCAATTATTAAACCATATGCCTACGTGGATTACTTCATCACTTCCCACATGTCCGACCTTATCACTAATTTTCGTATTATAGACCATTACAATTAGGGATCTATATAACAATGGGAAATTAATTAATACAGCCGGTGACCGTTTACTTGCAATTTAATTAGGTTTATTTGTCTATCTGCCTTATTCGTACAACTCGTTTGGTTTATTTACTTACGGCTTATTCGTACAGAATATGACTTAGTTACACAAATAGAAATAGTGTGATTTTATTCAGCCACAAATTAAATCTATTCATCTCTAATTTTTTGTTTTTAAAGTTGAGTTTGAATCAAATTAAAACACGAAAATCTTATATTTAATGCGATCGTTTGATATTATCTCAAAAGGAAAGTTGACGTATAGAATTTGAGACGATTATTGTTTTTAACTTTTAATAATTATCTCATGTTTATAGAAAGAACTTTAATCTTTCTTCATCGGACTGATGTAGGGACTGTTTGGCAGTTGCTGAATGATTAAGTGATCAGATTAATGATTAAGAGACTCTCACGATATAGTTCAAAATGAAATATAATTGTTTGGTAACTGTTTACAATGAAATTAGGGCGCTTAATGGTTAAGGGAGGCCTAAGATACAAAATCATTCATAGGGTTTTGGAACCATTAAGAGACAGACTCATTTTTTGCCAAACAAGATTCACCTCTTAACGATTCAGATATTGTCTCTTAATAAAACCATTAAAAAGTAAACAAACAACCCCATATTATTATGGACTTTGTGGCTAATTGGTTTGAGTTCGTTTGGTTGAATTGTGTTTGGCTACGTTTGAATGTTCCGTTTTCAATGTTCGTGTATGTTTTGGCCTATTCCTTTGTTTGTTCTGGTCCTCTGGTAATTTTTATGGTAGGTTTCGTTTGTTTGGCTCTCCATTTCATATATCACTCGTTTAAATTCTATTTGTTATTTCTGTTCCATGCTAATAGTTTTAGTTGTCTTTCAAAAAAATTAATATAGGCACATGAATTATAGCAATTTATTTCATTTTTGCATGTTTTCTGAATAAGGGTACTCACGCAATATAACAATATATACGATCGATTTTAATGTTCCGTTCTATTTTTTGTTTTTATCTATGTTATAATACGATTTTATATTGTTTTGAGAAGGAGACACTATTTATATTTTTGAATGAGATATAAATTGAAGAGATCATAGAAAATTGAAAAAAAAAATATCAATATAGTGTCAAATTAATTATTTAAAAGTTATTTTTTTTTTTGTAATTTTTTTAATTTAAATTTTTTGTTATAATTTAATTTCAGTTTAATAACGAAGTTTCTTATTTTTAGTTAAGCATCTAATTTTTGTTTATAAAAATAATAATTAGGTATTTTGTTAGAATTTCATGTTTATATTTAAAATGAGATGTTTATCATGTATTTAATTATCTTATCTGCAGTTGGTTATACAAATTCAAATATGGAGTTTTAATAGATTGTACTTATGCACAACTTACTTGTAATCTTGAATTTTAAGTAATATGTATTAATAAACAATATTTTATGATAAAATATGGTTTTTAAGAGTTTTTGTCAAATGTTTTATAATATAGTATAGATATAAGGGCCTTCTTTTAAAAACTTGATAAATTGTAATATCAGTGAGATTCAATTTAACTCATAAAAAAATAACATAAAATAAATTAAAATAAATTAAAATTTCTCCTCTCTTTCTCCTCCCTCCTCCCTCATGTTTTTTCTCTCATATTTTCTCTCTTAATAACATACATGTACACATGACACATAATTGAATACAAAAAACTCAAGTTCAACGCATGTGAACAATTTCTTATAAATAATATTTTAGTTTGTGACAACTTTGTGAACATTTTCTTATAAATATTAATATAATTTGTGAACACACTGTAAACACATTGTAAATCTACAAAATCTGGTACAAATTGTGAACTCAAACTAAATCAATAAAATTAAATCTAAACATACCACTTGTGAACACCAAACTAAATAGTTTATTAAGGTTGTTTACATTGTGTTCACAATATATTCACATTGTATGCATGATATGTATATTAATATGGAGATATAAGAGAGGAAAAGATAAATATGGAATTTCCTAAAACACTACATAAATTTTGATTTAATGAATAAAGATAATCATATCCTTAATTATCTCAGTAATTAATAAACTTAATCATCTTAAATTAGTGGTGCAGGATGAATCTTTTGGATCTCACATATTTTACAGTTCTCAAATGATTAAACTCATATATATATATATGTATGTATATATGTGTGTCACCCTAACAAACCTTTAAATTGTTTTAATATAAAATAATAATACATTAACTGCGTTATTGCCATTACAAAAAAAATCGGGTTAATACAACATATAAAGTGTTTAACTGTCATTATTTTCTACTTTCTTCGTTG